AGTTGCGTGCGTTCGTCCACTATGGAATGGTAAATCCAATTGCTCAGTTGCCTGCGTTCGTATTGAATGTTTTAATGACACAGGACTGATACATATTATTTTCACCACTGATTTTCTTGACAGACTTATCCTGCACATATTTAATAAGCCGAATAAACTCATCAAAAGTGTTTCTGCGGGAAGAAACCATACTGCTTTTCTGACTGACGATGGCATGCTTTACACCTGCGGGTTGAATAATAACGGCCAACTGGGTTACTTCGTTGAAGGCAAAATCCATGGACAGCCAAAGAAGGTAGAAATGGGGAAGAATGGCATGGGGATTGAGACCAGGTACGTGCAGTTAGTATAGGTAATAGGACTTGTACAATTTGGAAATAATTGGATGACAAAATTCCAAGGACTGACTTTAAAATAACCGTAAGAGTAATTACGGCGTTTTAGGAGGTGTCCGGTGCATCGCTGGACACCCCCTTGGATCCGCCTATGGTAAGTATCTCACTTACTACAAATATTTTCAACCATCCATCAACAAAGGTGACGCCGATTTAAAGCGAATCTATCGAGTTTTAAGAATTATTGTTTCTTATGTCATGCAAAACTGCACGAATTTCAAGTTTGCTTTCGTCCTGACTTTTTCCAATCCTTTGTTTCCAGAGCTCACAGGGTCATTTGTTCGGAAGATTGTACAATAGTCACAACTGAAGAAAAACGTGTGATGGCCTGGGGCAAGTTTAGCTACGGCCCAAATATCTACGACCCCACCCCTCTACAAAATATCAGCGTAGACATCATTGACGTCACTACTTGTATACTCCCTGAAAGTAAAGGAAAAGCCTCGTGCGAGTTGATAATTGCCTTGGCAAGCGGTAGTAGGATGGTGTTGTGTACAGGTGTAACAAATGGCGCAGCATATGACTATCAGGATTTACCGTGGCCGGATAAAGCCATCATTCCTTGTGACATCAGTGATTTAGTCCGAATCGTATCAGTTGGTGGTTTGATAATAGCGTTTGACAATATGAATGTTTGCTATTACGCTGACGTGCACAGTTGGGTGAAAAACTTGGTCGGGGAAGAGGTTCTTTCATCTAGCGAACAGAGGATCATGCATAAAATATGCTGTGCAGTGGAAAAACTGGAGGCTCAAAATATTCCTGCTCTTGCCTTCCAACACCTTGAAGTTCAGGACAAAGTCTTTCAGATAGAAGCGTCCTTGAATTCGTTTCTGTTGCGGTCCGAAAGGGGAGATGTCTTTAGTTGGACTCCATACCAAGGTAAATGGTTTGAAATCCTTTCTGTCGCTTCCTTTCCTTTTCTTTTCTTTCCTTTTACCTGGGATGCCCTAATCTAGTGAAAAGATTGCCATTGTGACAAACCATACAAAACAAAAACTAACTGAAATACTAACATGAAAAGGTGGCCCGAGTAAATGACTTTAACGACCTATGAGTACTCAAAGTATATGAAGTTTGTTTCGTTGTCATAGGAAGTGCAGTGCATCAGCACATTGAACTGGACGATCAAATAGTGGTTCAAATTGGGTGTGGGTTGCAGCATTTTGCCGCCCTGACAAACACTGGTCTCTTGTTCACGTGTGGCGTTGGCTATCATGCGCAACTGGGACACGGAGACTTGAAGAACAGGATATCTTTGAGATGATTCCTCTTTGTGAGTTTGAACAAATCAAATCCGTTAGTTGTGGACAAGTCGGCACTGCAGTTATTTCGGTAACAGGAAAGGTAAGAATAAAACCGAACGTTAACGTTCTCACCTTATCGAAGAGAGCTGTTGTCGTATGATCAAGTAGGAAAACATTACAGCTTATTTATAGCTTTCAGCCGTTCTGTAACCTTATCGTAGAACAGTCTTTACGGCACGAACACGGTCGTGACACGGCAAGGCATACGCCAGACCAATTGTATTACACGAGAATTTACTTTTCATCCAATCAAATGCCCGAAACACGGCGCGAATAAGGCGCGGACACGGTCACGCCAAGGTCACGGCACTGCCAGACCAGTCATATTGCGCGGAAAAAAAAATCGCCGATTGAAATTCTAGAAAGCATCACATTCGCAGCAAGGCACGCAGACGGCACTGACACGAAATCTGATCTGCCTTAACGTAGCCGTAACTACGCGTTGTGATTGGCTAAAGCATTATATAGAAGGCGATGGGAAGCCATTTCAACGCAACAGCGTGTTGTACCGTGTGCTGTAGGTCAGTACCATATGTTTCGCACTTGATCATACGAAATACGAAGAACCGCTCTCATCAGAACTCGAAAAACTCATTTTGACAACATTTGTTTTCTTTGACCAAGGTGTATTTCTGGGGTCAGCTTCAGATTTCCAAAGAAGAAAAACAACACGAAGAAAGAATGCTTTTGAACTCCATGAAAACCTGCCCCGAGATAAGCCCGTTTTTGTGCATGGATTCCTTTACCAAGGGCAATAGTATCTTACGAAACTACAAAGTCAATCCAAGAAAAGAGGACCTCATTGTAGTAGGAATACCATTTGAGTTTAACATTGAAAATGACGTACCTGAGGGAGGCAGTCTAGTGGATCCTAGTCTGGTATGTATGTTATTGCGCTCTTTTATGATACAACTTGCATAACATTGTTATAACATTGCTCTTATTTGTAGTCAGTAATGTTACCGTAATTGCCCTATTTCACTATGACGCCACTGCTTGTTTATGTGGGGGATAGAATCGCCAAATCCAATAGAAAATTCAATAAAATTTGCTCCTAGCGAAACAGTTTAATCTAAAATGGCCTGGTTTTCAGATTTAATATGTGTTAATATGTACTAAAGAATATTGCTGGCGTTTGCTGGCTATTCTACTTCTCTTCGTAGATCGATACGGGTAATAGAACAATTTTTGGTGAATTTGCGTTGATTTGACCCCCTCCGACGACCATGATCCTTTGCGTTTAAACGATAGATTGTTTTGATGTGACGTCATAGTGAAATAGTGAATTGTCGTTTGATTTGGCAGGTTTTCAGGGTACAAGCTGCATCCCCATCCTATGACATTATTTTGAAAGGAAGAGTTGAATCCACCCAAGCAAGTACTTATCGATCAACTCTGACTTTCACTAAAGATGGAAAGTACAATGTATCTGTCACCTGTAATGGGAGCCACGTCCTTGGAAGCCCATTCATTGTTGATGTTGAGATGGGAGTCCCTCTATCGACACTTAAAATGACATTACTTGGATGTGATGTCGATAGTCTGAGGTCAGTCGCATCGACCTTGACCACATTTTATGGTGATGGTCAAGAAGCCTCGTCTTCTTTGAAGTTTTCATTACCAGATATTCGAGTGCAACTTTGGGGTCACCCTCCAGTTCATGGAGATCGAATTCTATCCGATATTGTGGCTCTGTCATCTCTCAGCGATGGTGGAATATATCTATACGTTTGGGACGGGAGTCTTAACGAATTCCCCGAAGAAAACGTAGCTTTTTGGCTTCACCAAATTGCGATGAAATCACCTCGGGCTCATTTCGTGATTCTCGGGGTGAACATGAGTTTGGATCAAACGCATAGATTTGACTTGAAGGCGTATCAGAGAAGCAATCCCAATTTAATCAAAGCAATTTTTGTTGCCTCATTGGAAGCAGAACCATTAGCATTTTACCAAGAAATCCAACAAATGGTTGGAAGAAGAATCCTTAGTGAATCTGAACAAAATGTATGGTCAAAGCTGATATCATTGGAATCCCGAATACGGGACAAAATGAACCAGGAAACCGAGATAATGAGTCGAAAAGAGTTTGTTTGTCTGGCAAATGAATGTGGAATAGACGAGAGCAGAATCTATGCATCAGTGCTTCATCTTGAGAAAGTAGGGTTGGTGCTTGATGTTGGAGCAGAAGATGTTTTCATTGTCTTAAGTCAATACTGGTTGACGAGACAATTGTCTGAAATGATTCGGTGTTGCCCACGAGGTGCTGTTGATATGTGCCATCTTGGTGAGTACTGAGTAAATGAAACGCATGTCATCATAAGGAGAAAAAACGTACGAAAGGGGAGGGGGAGAGGAAGGAATAAATTGAATTTACGCCACAGTATGTAACGTTCGATTTTTTGCTGGCTACTCCTCCTCTTTTCTCTCGCACCTTCTCTCGTCCCCAATTCTCTGCCATATATTTCAACACAGGAATCCCTATTGTCTAATTTCTGGAGAATAAATAAGGAGTACCCAGCGTAGGAGGCTAGTACGTGCACTGCAATGGGGAGCCTCGGAATGGCTAATTGCTTGGTAGCAATCGCAACTAAACAAAACTTTATCGTATGAATGTGCCAGTGGGACGGGGAAAGGGACGAGCACGCGTTCCCACCAAATCCACCTGCGGCATCTTAACTTTATCATACAGTAAAAGTCAAGGAAAGAATGATTAAAAGTAAGAGTCAGGGAAAGAATTATTCAGATGGATTTTATGCTGTTCCGTCAGGGAATTTTGAATTTCTCAAATATTGCTTGACATATTTTTATTCTTGTCAAAATCATCCATTTCGTTCTTGTCCGCTTAATATTTTTCAGATCAGCCAAAGATACAACTTTCAGGCATGCTCATCAAGAAGAAACTGGCATTCACAAATGGCACTCAAACAAGACTCTTCTTTGTTCCATGTTTGGCAAGTGATGAAATAACTACAGCAGACGAACCATCGTTCGTGGTCATTAGACATCTCATCATTGATTGCCCTTCTTCCAGCCTTGATGTAGCTTTTCCAGTGTTGTCGTCAAGACTATGCCAAGAGCATTTGGACACCAGTTTTGGCCCTTTTTTCTCTGTTATTCACGATAAAAACTTCAAGTGTCGTGTAGACTTTGGGCCATGTTTGATTAACAAGAACAAATCCGAAATTCGCTTCGCGGTTCATTCCGAAGAACAACAATCTCTAAAGAACTATGCTAAAGCTTTAATCCCAGCAATGGTCGAATATCTTCGACAAGAGTGTCCACATTTGTATATCGATGACCAGGTCCACATTTCATGCAACAAGTGCTTGAGGTATTACTTTACCTTGGAAGCAATAGAAGAAATAAATACTGGGGCCGAGTCCATTTTAAAGTGCGGAGAATGCAAAGCAACAATTGGTGGCTCTGATTTGTTGGAAGGTTTTAAAATACAGCGCCCGTTGCCAAAATTGATGRAAAGAGCTCTGGTAGGACTTATCCCAGGTAAAACTTAGTTCCCTTATACACAAAAGTTTAGTTCTAATCCTACCAGAATCCAACGAACCCTTGATTTGGCTTTTCTTGGTAGTTAAGTTAAAAGGTTAAATTATACACCGTGAAAAGATGAAAAAACTTAC